TAATAGTCCTTATTTTAAAGTCTATTTTGTCTGATATGAGAATTGCTACTCCAGCTTTCTTTTGGTTTCCATTTGCATGGAATATCTTTTTCCATCCCCTTACTTTCAGTCTGTATGTGTCTCTAGGTCTGAAGTGGGTCTCTTGTAGACAGCATATATAAGGGTCTTGTTTTTGTATCCATTCAGCCAATCTGTGTCTTTTGGTGGGAGCATTTAGTCCATTTACATTTAAGGTAATTATCGATATGTATGTTCCTATTCCCATTTTCTAAATTGTTTTGGGTTCATTATTATAGGTCTTTTCCTTCTCTTGTGTTTCTTGTCTAGAGAAGTTCCTTTAGCATTTGTTGTAAAGCTGGTTTGGTGGTGCTGAACTCTCTCAGCTTTTGCTTGTCTGTAAAGGTTTTAATTTCTCCATCAAATCTGAATGAGATCCTTGCTGGGTAGAGTAGTCTTGGTTGCAGGTTTTTCTGCTTCATCACTTTCAGTATGTCCTGCCACTCCCTTCTGGCTTGTATGGTTTCTGCTGAGAGATCAGCTGTTAACCTTATGGGGATTCCCTTGTGCGTTATTTGTTGTTTTTCCCTTGCTGCTTTTAATATGCTTTCTTTGTATTTAATTTTTGACAGTTTGATTAATATGTGTCTTGGCGTATTTCTCCTTGTATTTATCCTGTATGGGACTCTCTGTGCTTCCTGGACTTGATTAACTATTTCCTTTCCCATATTAGGGAAGTTTTCAACTATAATCTCTTCAAATATTTTCTCAGTCCCTTTCTTTTTCTCTTCTTCTTCTGGAACCCCTATAATTTGAATGTTGGTGCATTTAATGTTGTCCCAGAGGTCTCTGAGACTGTCCTCAGTTCTTTTCATTCTTTTTTCTTTATTCTGCTCTGCAGTAGTTATTTCCACTACTTTATCTTCCAGGTCACTTATCCGTTCTTCTGCCTCAGTTATTCTGCTATTGATCCCTTCTAGAGTATTTTTAATTTCATTTATTGCGTTGTTCATCGTTGCTTGTCTCATCTTTAGTTCTTCTAGGTCCTTGTTAACTGTTTCTTGCATTTTGTCCATTCTATTTCCAAGATTTCGGATCATCCTTACTATCATTATTCTGAATTCTTTTTCAGGTAGACTGCCTATTTCCTCTTCATTTGTTAGGTCTGGTGCATTTTTATCTTGCTCCTTCATCTGCTGTGTGTTTTTCTGTCTTCTCATTTTGCTTATCTTACTGTGTTTGGAGTCTCCTTTTTGCAGGCTGCAGGTTTGTAGTTCCCGTTGTTTTTGATGTCTGTCTCCAGTGGCTAAGGTTGTTTCAGTGGGTTGTGTAGGCTTCCTGGTGGAGGGGACTAGTGCCTGTGTTGTGGTGGATGAGGCTGGATCTTGTCTCTCTAGTGGGCAGGTTCACGTCTGGTGGTGTGTTTTGGGGTGTCTGTGGCCTTATTATGATTTTAGGCAGCCTCTCTGCTAATGGGTGGGGTTGTGTTCCTGTTTTGCTAGTTGTTTGGCATAGGTTGTCCAGCACTGTGGCTTGCTGGTCGTTGAGTGAAGCTGGGTGCTGGTGTTAAGATGGAGGTCTCTGGGAGATTTCCGCCGTTTAATATTATGTGGAGCTGGGAGGTCTCTTGTTGACCAGTGACTTGAAGTTGGCTCTCCTACCTCAGAGGCAGAGCCCTGACTCCTGGCTGGAGCACCAAGAGCCTTTCATCCACACGGCTCAGAATAAAAGGGAGAAAAAGTAGAGAGAATTAGTAGAAGTATGAGGAAAGAAAGAAGGAAAGGAGGAAAGGAAGGAAGGAAGAATGAAGCAAAGAAGGAAATAAAGGAGGGAGGGAGGGAGGGAGGGAGGAAGGAAGGAAGGAGGGAAAGAAGGAAAAAAGACAGAAAGAAAGAAGATACAGTAAAAATAAAATAAAGTATAATATAGTAATTGAATTAAAAAATATTTAGAAAAAAAAAAAAGGGACGGATAGAACCTCAGGACAAATGTTGGAAGCAAAGCTATACAGAGAAAATCTTACACAGAAGCATACACATACACCCTCACAAAAAGAGGTAAAGGGGGAAAAATCATAAATCTTGCTCTCAGAGACCACCTCCTCAATTTGGGGTGATTCGTTGTCTAAAGGAGGGAAGGAAGGAAGGAAAGAAAGAAAGAAAGAACGAAGGTAAAGTATAATAAAGTTATTACAATTAAAATTAATTATTAAGAAAAAATTTTTAAAAAAAACCATGGACGGATAGAGCCCTAGGACAAATGGTGGAAGCAAGACTATGCAGACAAGATCTCACACAGAAGCATACACGTACACATTCACAAAAAGAGGAAAAGGGAAAAAAATCATAGATCTCGCTCCTAAAGTCCACCTCTTCAATTTGGGATCATTCCTTATCTATTCAGGTATTCCACAGATGCAGGGTATATCAAGTTGATTGTGGAGCTTTAATCCGCTGCTTCTGAGGCTGCTGGGAGAGATTTCCCTTTCTCTTCTTTGTTCTCACAGCTCACAGGAGCTCAGCTTTGGATTTGGCCCTGCCTCTGCGTGTAGGTCGCTGGAGGGCGTCTGTTTTTTGCTCAGACAGGACGGGGTTAAAGGAGCCGCTGATTCGGGGGCTCCAGCTCACTCAGGCCGGGGGTGGGGGGGGAGGGAGGGGCACTGCGTGCGGGGCGGGCCTGCGGCGGCAGAGGCCGGCGTGACGTTGCTCCAGCCTGAGGCCCTCCGTGCGTTCTCCCGGGGAAGTTGTCCCTGGATCCCGGGAACCTGGCAGTGGCGGGCTGCACAGGCTCCGTGGAAGAGGGGTGTGGAGAGTGACCTGTGCTCGCACACAGGCCCCTTGGTGGCGGCAGCAGCAGCCTTAGCGTCTCCCGCCCGTCTCTGGGGTCCGCGCTTTTAGCCACGGCTCGCGCCTGTCTCTGGAGTTCCTTTAAGCAGCGCTCTTAAACCCCTCTCCTCGCGCACCAGGAAACAAAGAGGGAAGAAAAAGTCTCTTGCCTCTTCGGCAGGTGCAGACTTTTCCCCAGACTTCCTCCTGGCTAGCCGTGGTGCACTAATCCCTTCAGGCTATGTTCAAGCCGCCAACCCCAGTCCTCTCCCTGCGCTCCGTCCAAAACCGAAACCCGAGCCTCAGCTCGCAGCCCCGCCCGCCCCGGCGGGTGAGCAGACAAGCCTCTCGGGCTGGTGAGTGCCGGTCGGCACCAATCCTCTGTGCGGGAATCTCCCCGCTTTGCCCACCGCACCCGTCGCTGTGCACTCCTCCGCGGTACCGAAGCTCCCCCCTCCGCCTCCCGCAGTCTCCGCCCGCGAAGGGGCTTCCTAGTGTGTGGAAACTTTTCCTCCTTCACAGCTCCCTCCCACTGGTGCAGGTGCCGTCCTTATTCTTTTGTCTCTGTTTTTTCTTTTGCCCTACCCAGGTACGTGGGGAGTTTCTTGCCTTTTGGGAGGTCTGAGATCTTCTGCCAGCCTTCAGTAGGTGTTCTGTAGGAGTTGTTCCACGTGTAGATGTATTTCTGGTGTATCCGTGGGAAGGAAGGCGATCTCCGCGTCTTACTCTTCCGCCATCTTCAAGCCGTCCTCCGAGTTTGCTTCTTTTGTGTTTTATTCACTAGTTTGTTGTATTTTTATGATTCCATATATAAGTGATATCATACAGTATTTGTCTTTCTCTGTCTGACTTATTGCACATAGCATAATGTCCTACAAGTCCATCCATGTTGCTGCAAATGGCAAAATTTCATTCTTTTTTTATGGCTGAGTAGTATTCCATTGTAGGTGTATGTACCACATCTTCTTTATCCATCATCTGTTGATGGACACTTAGGTTGCTTCTATACGTTGGCAATTGTAAATAATAATGCTATGCGCATTGAGGTGCATGTATCTTTTTGAATTAGTGTTGTTGGTTTTTTTGGATATATACCCAGGAGTGGAATTGCTGTGTCATATGGTAGTTCTATTTTTAGTTTTTTGAGAAACCTCCTTACTGTTTTCCACAGTGCCTGCACCAATTTACATTCCCACAACAGTGTATGAGGGCTCCCTTTTCTCCACATCCTTGTCAACATTTGTTATTTGTGTTCTTTTTGATCATAGCCATTCTGATGTGTGTGGGGTGATATTTCATTGTCATTTTGATTTGTATTTCCCTGATGATTAGCGATGTTGAGCATCTTTCCATGTGCCTGTTGGCCATCTGCATTTTCTCTTTGGAGAAATGTCTATTCAGTTCTTCTGGCCATTTTTTAATTGAGTTTGTTTTTTTGATGTTGAGTTGTATGAGCTGTTTATATATGTTGCATGTTAACCCCTTATCACTCATATCATTTGCAAATATCTTCTCTCATTCAGTAGGTTGTTTTTTTGTTTGTCGATGGTTTCCTTTGCTGTGCAAAAGCTTTTGAATTTAATTAGGTCCCATTTGACTATTTTTGCTTTTGTTTCCTTTGCTTTAGGAGACGGATCCAAAAAAACACTGCTTCAGTTTGTGTCTAAAAGTGTTCTGCATATGTTTTCCTCTAGAAGTTTTATAGTATCCAGTCTTACATTTAGGTCTTTAATCCATTTTGAGTTATTTTTGGACAGCTACTTGTAAAAGAATAAAATTAGAACATTCTCTAATACCATATACAAAAATAATCTCCTTTGCTTTTGAAGAATAATTTGGCTGGATAGAGAATTCTAGGTTGGTGGTTTCTCTTTCAGCACTTTAAATGTATCACTCCACCCTCTTCTTGCTTGCAGGGTTTCTGAAGAGAATTCTTATCCTGCTCCTTTGTAGGTAAGGCGTTTTTTATTTCCAGCTTCTTTCAAGACTTTTTGTCTTTATTTTCTGCAATTTGAATATGATATGCCTAGGTATAAATTTTTTTGAATTTTATTATACTTGTTCTCTGAGTTTCCTTAATATGTGGTTTATATTTGTCATTAATTTTGGAAAATTCTCAGCCATTATTCATAATTTCTTTTCCTTTCTCTTTCTCCTTCTCCTGCTACTCCCATTGAATTTTTGTAATTGTCACATAGTTCTTGGATATTCTATTCCATTTTTTCTCTTCTTTTTTCTCTTTGCTTTTCAGATATTGACATATCTTCAAGCTTACTAATTCCTTTATTGGCCATGTCCAGTCTACTGATGAGTCCATCAAAGGCATTCTTCATTTCTTTTACAGTGTTTCTGATTTTTAGCATTTAATTTTGATTCTTTATTAAGGCTTACATGTCTCTACTTATATTACTTACCTGTTTTTACATGTTGTCGATTTTTTATATTAGAGCCCTAGGATATTTATCATAGTTATTTTAAATTCTTTTTAAAAATTTTTATTGGATTATAGTTGATTTACAATGTTGTGTTAGTTTCAGGTGTACAGTGAAGTAAATCAGTTATATATATATATATATATATATCCACTCTTTTTTCTATTCTTTTCCTATATAGGTCATTACAGAGTACTGAGTAGAGTTCCCTGTGCTACACAGTAGATCCTTATTAGTTATCCATTTTATATATAGTAGTTTGTATATGTCAATCCCAATCTCCTAATTTATCCTTCTCCCCTTTTCCAGTTATTTTAAATTCTTGATCTGATGATTCCAAAACTTCTTCTCTATCTAAGTCTGGTACTGATGCTTTTGGTCTTTTCAGACTATTTTTTTTGCCTTTATCATGCCTTGTAATTTTTGGTTGAAAGCCACACATTGTGTATTGGGTGAAAGGAACTGAGGTAAATAGGCCTTTCATCTAAGGTTTTACACTATCTAGGTATTAGTTAGGGTATGCTTACTGCTGTAGCTTTAGGTGTCAGAGACAAAAATTTCCTCTAGTGTCTATTTTTGTCTCCTTGGATGTTTTGGGCTTCCCTAGAGACTCCTTCTTAAATTGGTTCTGAGGCTTCCAGTTCTTCTATCTGTAATCCCCTGTTATTATACTGCAGCCTTATTCATGTGATGATGAGGTGTGAGGGAAGGGGAAGCATCTTATAGTCCTATAATTAGGTCTCATTTTTTTAGTGTGCTTGTCCCCCGTGCTGTGACCTTCACACATTTTATAGATTTTTTTTTCCTTTGATAAGACAGGAAAAACTAAATGGCTCTGGAGTTGGGTATTTCTCTTCCTCCATGTGGAAGGCTAGTGAGGGTTGGATTTGGGTATTTTCCTCTCCCCACATGGAAGTCTAGGGGAGATTGGAGTTGAGTATTTCTCTTCCTCAAAGTTGACTGGGCTCTTGTAAAACCCAAGCTGTATGGTTAGCTAATATTGTTTCCCTTGAGGACAGCCTTTTGTTAAGGAGAACAGAATGCTCTGGGCATATTTCAAAATTATTACTTTTCCTTCTCCCCCTGCTAAAAATCTGAAAGAAGTTTTCACCAGTTCTCACTTCTGAGAACCTGGTGGGGCTCCTGGAGCAAAAGCTCAGGAAAGTGTGGAGGTTCGTCTAAGGCCCCCTGGAGTTTTTAACTCTTAAGCTTAGCTGCACTGAGCCTCTTGCAGTTCATCATTTATAGTTTGTGTTCTGTTGTTGCTGGCTTCAGTGGCAATGTTCAGCCCCTGGGCTTCTGTTCTTGGTAAGCTGTGGTTCTCTATATTAATGGGGCAGCAGATAGTGATGTGGCCTTAATTCTTTGATGGACCTAAGAAGAATTGTTGATTTTCAGTTATTCAGCTTTTTTTCTTGGGAGGATGGTAGTGATGACATCTAGCTCTTTATGTGTCAGACTGGTGCTATTGATTTTTATAAATTGATCTTGTGTCTGGTAACTTTACAGAGCTCTCTTACTAGTTTTAATTATTTGTTAATTCTGTTGGATTTTATATGTCACCTGAAAGTAATTACAGTTTTGTATCTTTCTTCCCAACTATTGTATCTTCTATTTTTTCTTTTAACTGCATAGGAATCTTACTTTTCTCAGTGACTGTTAAAGCTTTGTAAATCATTTCTCAGTACAGTGGCCAAGTAGATAGAATAAATTATTCCTTGACCCTTTGAGACTTTCATAATCAACAGTAATTTTTTATGATTTATAGACTCTTAAGTGATTTGTTTTCCTCAGAATTTAGAATTCTTCCTCTTTTGTGTCTAATTTCTCATCCCTACTTGAAGATTTAATGCCCTCTTTTAAAATTTTTTTAATGATTAAGATTGGACATTAAAGTTCATAGTATCAGGTTAATAAAGTTTTCAAAGGTTTCATTTTTAATGAATAATGGTGGTTGAATTATAATATAATTTTATATGTGTATTGAAATGACAATATAGTTTCCCTTTTTAATCTATTAATGTGGTAAATTACATTGATTTTCTAATATTAAACCATCTTTGGATTCCTGGGATAAATTCAACTTGGTCATAAATTCAACTTGGTTATTATTTTTTATATATTCTTCTGGATTTGGTTTGCTAATGTCTTATAATTTTTTCCAACTTTTCCAGATGTATCATATAACTTCCTCCTTTCAGACATTCAAAGAGTTTTTGAAATATTCCTGCCTGTAAACAAAGTATTTTCCTCTAATATATCTGTTACTCTGTCTCTCTGTCTCTTTCTCCCTCAGAAAAAAATCACACTATTGCTGTATTCATAGCTTAATTTACATTTTATTAGGTAGTTTATAAGTTCTATTGACATGATACAGTTAATTTCCTGAAATGCTATGTGTTGTTTCAGATCACTATTATTAAGTGGTTAGTTTTCATTATATCAAATCCTTACAATACCATGTGCACATGATATCTTGTGGATATTTTTTGATGTAATTGGTCAAATTTGAATTTATTTGATGGTATGAAAATTTTCATTAGTTTGTTTTCATGAATATTTATTGAATATCTAGTATGTGTCAAGTACTATTCTAGATGCTGAGGATACAGCAGTCAAAAAAAGATCCCTGCCTTGATGGAACATCTTGGTGATATTCTTAGGACCTAATAATAATGGTCTCAGAATATAAATGGGACTTTAGTGATGTTCCACAATTCATACAAAAAAAATTATTCTTGTTGTCTAATGGTCATTTCATGCCTAGGGTCAAAGCTTTGATAGACCACTTTGTTTTTTTTTTAACATCTTTATTGGAGTATAATAGCTTTACAATGTTGTGTTAGTTTCTGCTGTATAACAAAGTGAACCACCTATATGCATATGTATATCCCCATATCCCCTCCCTCTTGCGTCTCCCTCCCACCCTCTTTATCCCACCCCTCTAGGTCGCAAAGCAACGAGCTGATCTCCCTGTGCTATGCAGCTGCTTCCCATTAGCTATCTATTTTACACTTGTCACGTCAATGTTACCCTCTCACTTCGTCCCAGCTTACCCTTCCCCCTCTCCGTGTGATAGACCACTTTTAATCAATGATAAAAAACAAATTTGACCTCCTTACTGCTTTGGACCATATTTCATTGAAAAATTATACTCTTTTTGATTATAGTTTATATTAACATGAATTATTCATTCATAATAAAAATGAAACCTAAATAATTCTACCATAAAATTTTTTCTATTGTGGATTCATAAATATTTTTCAGATGGCTTGGATGAATTTTGATTTTGTTAATATACAATACCAAATGAATTTTTAGCACACTTTGAAAATGTTTCTTAAAAAGCCCGCAGGTAGGGAGTTCCCTAGTGTCTTAGTGGTTAGGATTCAGCTCTCTGGCGTGGCCGGGGTTCAATCCCTGTTTGGGGAAATAAGATCCCACAAGCTGCAAGGTGCGGCCAAAAAAAAAAAAAAAGCCAGCAAGTAAATCTGTATTTTATTTTATATTGAGTTAATAAATGGAATTTTTAAAAGATAGGAAATGGTATATTCATTTTGCTTACATTGAGACTAATTAGAACTATTAAACTCAAGTACTTAGGAAATTTACTACTTTTGTACATTCACTTGTATATTTCAAAGAGCTTTATAATAGACAATGAATATACCAAATTAAATTCTAAATAAACGTTTACCAAATATGTATAACATTGAATTTCAGTTCTGATACAATTCCTAGTTTAAAATACAGATAAAATCATAATACAAAATAATGTACAAACTAATACAAAAATTGCCAAGCTGATTGCAGAAATTTTGGTACCCAGAGCAGGGACACTGTCTTCTGACAGAGGAATAAGCTTGGCTATTTGTGCAACATTAGAAACCTCTGAGGTGATATTGGCTTCATTGATGACTTAGACTGCAATATAGGTAACATTTTCTATTTTAAAAGGCTCTGACTTAAATTCAAAATTTTCTATTGAGCTGGCCTCCTTAGGTATTAGACTAGAAGTATTCACTAAAGCAGCATTGTCAAAATCTTCTCGGAGATCCAGGAAACTCTTACTTATTCTTATAATGTACCTATTGGCTGGAAAACAAACAGATATTTCATGTATGTTAGAATCACTAAGATGCCTTATTGCTACCACATTGCCTTGCATTTAGGGGCCTATCAGAAATGCACACTGGGTTTTTTGTCTGGTTATTCCATATTCTTTATTTTAAGAAAAAATATGGGAACAGTTTTTTATCTAGTTATCTAATCACAAAGAATTAATTCAAAATTGTATAGGACAAAAAATGGAATCTCGATTTCTTTTTAGAAATAGAAATATGAAGAACTGAGTCCACTTTTAATTTAGAACAAGGAACACAGTAATGTTTGAGTATAGTAAAGATATTCAGTACTCTATGCCTGTATTATTTCTCGTTAAGCTGAGAGAGAGAGTAATGGGACGGGTGAGGAAGAGAGCAGATAAGTAGAGTGGGAGCCAGGGATAAGGATAAAGAGCAAAGGGAGGCAGAGAGCCTGGAATGTGTACCAATTAAACATGTTTAGGAGCTAGGCAGACTTTGATTAGCACCTTAGTTCTACTATTTTCTGGCTGTAACAAAGAAAAATTTATTTACCCCTTCTTACCTTTAGTTTTCTTATCTGTAAAATAGAGAATCGGTCATTCAGTTCATTCAACAAATATCTACGGAATGCTAGTGATGAGAATTATATGTGATAATGCATGAAAAGTATTAAGCACAATGGGAGTTAATAAATGTTTGAAATATTACCTATTTTTACTGTTACTTTATCAAGAAAGGAAAGAAAGATGCTGACAAATGTTTCATTTCAAAATGGTTTTAGAATCTACAAGGGCCATCGATATAGAAATATATTCTCACATTATGAAATGCCATGAACAGTAAAACATCAGATGTCTTTTTGAAGTGAAGACTTTATTTTTTTCATGAAGTGTTGAAGATGTTTTAAGCATGTGGTGAATAACTTCAATTTAGTGTTTTTTTTTT